TTTTTTTTTTTTTTTTTTTTTTTTTTTTTTTTTTTTTTTGCCCACACACCCCTTACTCCTTGGCTTCTATGCTCCTCGAGCAATCTTCTCTTTGAGTTTACATTCACAGTAAATATCGATGTAAATGTACCTTAAGTTAGTTAACTGTTAACTGACTAACCTAAGTCATCAAGTTGAGTAAATTAAGTTAAGCCAGCACTGACGACTCCTTTCATATCTCAACCGCAGGCTTCGTTGCTCAGCAACTACCCATTCCAAGCCCTTAATACTCGAGTACTTTACCTAGATAAAGTCCCGGGTTTCAAAAATGTCAACCGACCGACCGGGGAGGGAGGGGGGGAAGGGGGGAATAAGTCAACACAAACAAAGACCTCTACCAAGAAGAAGCTTTGCCGGTTTCGCTTCGATGGCGCTGTCAACCACCCACCTCATCATGTATATATCACCTGAGTCCTGCAATAGGATATAAGAAATAGCAGAAGAAACAGAAAAGAGGAAAGAAAGAGAGGAAAGAAAGAGAGGAAAGAAAGAGAGGAAAGAAAGAGAGGAAAGAAAAAGAGGAAAGGTAGGGAAATCAGGCCTCGACATCTACATCAACGCTATCAAATCCCGTCTGAAGAAATCGACATGAGAGGATCAGAGAAACAATAACAAGAAGGTAAGAGTCTATTACCGACTCATAGTACAGTACATAAGTGCCGATTCAACCCGGCTCTCTCGAATATAGGACAAAGAGTCCTGTACTCTGCAGCACTAGAAATGGTAAGTACATACAGTGAGTGCCGTCAATTGCATGCCACACATACAAACACAGAAACACCATGCCGTAGATAATATTTGACAACTGGAAATGTAAACCTCACCTACTACAGTACATACAGTACATCAACCCACATATCTAACCAACTCAGCCCCAAAGCAAAGACCAGCTCCCCAATTTGAACTCTCCTACCTCAGAAAAGTGAAATAATCATCGCTGTCCCAACTCGAACCTCCAACACCCCTGGTCTCCTTGTCTTCAATTCGATCTCCAGATAGAATCATACCACTCAGACTGCTTCCCACCACAACACAAGCAGTAAAAGGGGGGGAAAGCAGATGCAACTTACAAACGGTCGCACAGATGATACCATCACAGCTAGTCCCTCCCTTTCTTTCAAGTACGGTAGTACAGTGCAACTAACCGAGTCAAACATACATAACTTGAACCTCGTCTATCGATACCTAGGCCTAGACACTCGATAGACCCCCGTGTTGATACGTGCCGTGCCCGCCCCCCGCCGGCTCCCCTCCCATTGATTTCTTTTCACCTCATACATATGAAAGATGATCTCACGAATTGAAGATGCCTATCCTAGAGTATGTGCTGCAACAAAATAGAAAAGGACAAGATAGTTTGTCCTTTCTGAGGGTCGGGTTGAATTTCTGCTCTCTTTCCTCAGGTTTGTTCAAGCTTTCTTCTCGGACACCCAAGGGATGAGAAAAGTCATCCCAAGTTTGGTTTGGGTTCATCGTACAAGCGATAAAAGATTACCTGTTCCTGCGATGTCTAGATGCAAGCCAGAGTCTTTGAAAGTGGGTGCAGCAGTAATTGACTTTGACTTCTCGGCCCACACATTGAGCCTTCACATGTCAAGTTCGTCGTGCAAAGCTCGTGGGTGTGGCTTCGGTCTGGAGGCATGGTAGTTACTGTACGCGAAGCCTTCATAGTCATCCATGGTAGGATTATAATTGCTTGATTGGTTTAATATATGTTGGCTAATTGGCTGGTTGATGAGTGATCGCTATTATGCATGATAATGGTGCAAGAAGCCGGTACTCAGGACGTACTTTTGCTGTAGTCAAAGCCTATCTCCACTCTGCCCATCCCTGTTGTCAAACCACCGCACTATATATCTTGAATCACTATAAAGCAAGAAGATAAAGGGTAATGAGCTGATTAGCGCACTAAGACATGACCTTTCATTAGTCAACAACCCGGAAATGTCACTCGTCTGAACCGCCTATGATATCAGCTGCTATCTTCTCCGCCAGCATATCTAGAGCAAATCGAGTTAGCATGACTGCACCCTCGTCGGGGACTTCCTTCTCTCATGGGAAGCGACATACAAACAACCGCTTGGGGGTGTCCTGGAGGTAGAAGCGGGAACGCACTTGCGTCCACAACCCTCAACCCACTCACACCAAATACTCTCGCCCGGTTGTCCACAACAGCCATTGGATCATTGCTGGTCCCCATCTTACATGTACAGGCAGCATGATAGATGGTCATGACGGTGTTTCGAATGACGTCAAGGAGTTGCTCGTCGGTTTGGAACTGACTACCGGGGAAATACTCGTCGCCATCAACGATCGGAGCAATTGCCTGAAAAGCCTCACGAACTCGTCGATATATGGCAACACAAACTTGTGCATCGGACTCTGTCGCCAGCCAGTTCGGGTTGATTATAGGAAGATCGTCTGTGTCGTTGGAGGATATTGTGATGTTTCCACGAGATGTGGGTGCGACGAGCGTCCCTAGAATGGTCGCATATTGTGCCCCATCGGTAGGCTGGCTGAAGAAAGGGTCCGCAAAATCACCTGTATAGAGGGCCGCTGAGATATACTGCTCATGAGAGCTAGTGAGTATAGTTTAGATGGTCGCTGAGTAGGAAGACGTACCTCTGCCTCTGGCCAAGTGGGAGCAAACCACGATAGGTGCTGGCTCGTCTCGTCCGAAAAGGCTCTGCGCAGGTGCTCTGGGATCTTTTCAAATGCCAGATAATCGCCGCCTGGATTAGTCAACAAACCTCGTTTCTCGTTGGTGTATTTGAGGACTTGTTGGGCAAAAAAGGCAGGGTTTGTGGGGACGCTAGTTAGAGTCTGCATAGCAACTCGATATGTAGGTCCGAACATAACATGATCCCACATGTTCTGTCCAACACCTGGAAGATCGACAATTTGCTGTATGTCTTGGTCGCCCAAGATGTCTGCGGGCCCGACGCCCGATACCATCAGAAGCTGTGGGCTGTGGAAAGCACCTGCGGAGACTATGATCTCGCGTGTGGCTCGTAGAGTATAAGTTGATGTCGCATTGCCGGTGCGAACCACCACTCCTATTGCTTTCCTCGCGGAGTCAAAGAGAATCTTCTTAGCCATCGTCTTTGTATATAACCTGATCTTGGACATGCTGTCACCAATGCGCCCAAAGGCGGTCTCGGAGCTACACCTGGTCCTATCAGATGGGTGAATGGTCAAACTGCAGTACTGAGCACCTAGTAGCGTGCCGCTGTTGAAGTCCTGGGTCTCGCCAAAGCCTATATCATACATTGCGCGCTCCATCCAGCTGGAAAATGCGACGCTGTCCACAGGGTATGATACCTGTAGCGGCCCGCCCGCGGCGAATGCAGCTGGGTTATAGCCCGCCGAAGCATTGAGAGGACGCTCCGCGTTATCAGGGGGCGTGAAAGCGGGCGTACGCTGGAAGAACGGAAGGACACGATCAAAGGTATAACTGTCGTCCTGAACGAGCTCAGCCCAGCGATCCATTGTGCCAGTATCGGGTCTGACTGGTACCCACAATTAGTATAGAGGCAAAGGACTAGGGTCACACAGCAGACCGATTGTATATCATCAGATTGAGTGCGGATCTGAGTCAAAAAATCAGCATAGTTCTGAGAGGGTCAGTGTTCAGACACGTACGATCCACCGACACATTTCCCTCTGGCATAATGTATATCACGGTAGTTGGCACCGGGAACACTTTTCGCAACAAATCGCCAGTCAACAGGCGTCGCCGTGTCCACATTCGCTCCAATACCAACGACAGCCATGCCAGGAATCTTCGCTAAAGGATGAGCTGTTTCATAGAAGTCTCCAGCTTCGACAAGTGCCACCCTGAAACCATGCTCGGCTAAGCGAGCTGCCACAGTCACTCTTGCAGTACCGCCGCCGGCGACAACATAGTGGAAGACAGCATCGACATCGGGATCGCCTTCCTCTGCACGGTGCAAGTGAGCTGCAAATCCGTGAGCTCCTGTGGCTGCGATCAACATGAAGAGGATGAGGCGCGACAGTGACAGCATGATGCGACGTTCTGAGGTTGTATTACTTCAAGAATGATGAAGGGCGGCAGGTTGGTCAGTAACAACAGAGGCAGTGAGCATCTCGGGCTTATAGATGATGAATTAGCATGAGCACAGGCAAGAGCGACCCATTGAGTTGGCACTCGTTCCACTCCAGAAAAGCTTCTTCTCTGCCAGAAGAGGAAAGCTTACAGGAGTAGTGAGGTGAGTGGGTATAAAAGTCGGGGTATTAGGGATAAACGGTGACACAATCGACGATAGAGAATGAGTGCGGTTAGTTTTTCTGTAGATCAGGCCTTCTGCAATGGTCTGTCATTCGTCGATGTGAGCTTGGTGAATGTCTGGGTACATCGAGCTTTCTGCACAACAAACGGAGACAAACGTGGTGAATGGTTTGTTTGCACCGATGGCTGCCAAACGACCTCAACAGCCTCACTGGAGACTTTCAGAGATCTTACCCCTCGATTATCATTAAGAAGATCATTACTACCGCCATCTTTCGACATCTATCCTCATCATCAATAGCACAATTACCTCCACCACCATAATTATCATCGCGCTCCCCTTGACTCTCGATTCTTACCCCATCTCAAGCCCCCAAACCCAACACCAAACCGACAAACAACTTCACAATGACAACCTCCAAGTTCTGGCTCGACTTCCCCAACTTCAAGCCCAACTCCCACGCCCCAATCACCGAGGAATTCAAGCGCCTGGCCACACAGCAGGGCTGGAAGCGGGGCTCCAAGACCTGGCGCAAGCGATGGAACGCCTTCGTCAACATCGAGTACGACCAAATCATCGGCAGCCGCCTCGCATCCCTAGACGAATGGCGCGAGCTGTGTGAGCTTTTTGACCTGCCAGGGCCATTTCCTTCCATCACGCAGTGTAAAAAGGTATGGCCGTCCCTCTCCGTTGAAAGAGTAGAGTGAGGGGGAAGAAGTGAGAAAGAAAGAAAGGTAGAACAGTTTGAGTGCAAAGCAGGAGAGGCTGACAAAAGTCGAACGACCTCCATAGGCATTGTCGAGAGTGCATGTCAATCTGGTGGACCTTATCGAATGTCGACACTTGGGCACGAAACCGAGGACATTCAGGAACGTGTCGCAGCTCGCGGACTATACCAGGGACACGGGGAAGTTCTTCAATAGGACCCTGGCGAAGCAGGACAAGCTGCTCAGAGTCTTCTTGAGGAGATTGGTCTAGTTGTCAGAGGAAGGTACTGGTGTCCAACAACGCGTTGAGTCCTCCGATTCACGCGCCCGAGATTCCCGCGGGTCCTTCCGGTCTGTACGAATGGCTTTTCGTGTGCGAATTTGGTTGGGGCATGTTGGATCACAGTAGACAAGACCGTGAAGCGGTATGTGTGGTGAATCGAGAAAGCCTGCAAGTAAGATAGACATATGCTGGAAAGAAAGATCTATCAGTAAAAAGCATCCCGTTCTCTCAGTAAATTTCGACTATTGCTGAGATTGAGATAGAGACCAGCCTGTTTTCATGCATTAATAATTATAGACAGGGTCCAACTCAAATCAAGCGATTTGTAGGAGAAAATCAAAACGTATATTACATAGACTCCATGACCCGATCACAGCGCCTTCTTCTGCTCCTCGAGTCGCCCCCTCTCGACAACATATCCGACTGCGCGAGCAAGACCCTCGTCAACAGGAACAAGGGGTCTGTATCCCAAGCGGTGCTTGGCCTTGTCACACGAATAGTAGCGTGTCATGCACGAATAGCGCACCATACGTCTGGTCAGACGGGGAGTCTTGCCAAAGAGTCCGAGGACCGTCTCTGCAAGTCCGCCGATGGGGCCGAGAGCACTCTCGGGGAGCTCCCACACCTGATGGGGCTCTACCACCTTACCAGTGAGAGCCCAGGCAGCATGGGTCATATCCCAGAAATAGACCGGCGAGTCGTTGGTGATGTTGAACGCCTCTCCGTCCACCCGCTCATGGTCCAGAGGTCCAGCCTGTCCAGCCTCGTAGCGTGCATGAGTCGCAAGCAAGCGGTACGCCGCGAGGGTGTGCGAGTAGGCGACATTGCCCACGTAAGTGAAGTCGAACAGGTTGTTGTTGTCTCCCAACTGCATCCGGAGGACGGTCGGCGAAGCCTTGGCAGCATGTTCCAGAATCTTGAACGTGAATGTCGTGTCCTTCTCACCGTAGATGCCAGCGGGGCGAACCGCACAGGTGACCATTCCGGAGGGCGAGGCGCGGTTGTACTTCAAGGCAAGTTCTTCAGCGTCGGCCTACACATAACACATGATCTGATTAGCAACGTTTGAAATTAATAGAGGGGTGTCCAGATCTTTCGAACGTACCTTGGTTTCTGAATAGTACTCCAGTTGCAATGGTCCCCTGATAAGTGGCCATTCTTCCGTGACATTGATCAGGTCACTCTGCGTATCATGGACCACGGAACTCGAACTCGTGTAAACAAACGCCTTGCACTTTCCGCCCCAATCGCCACGCTCACCACCCGCAACTTCCAGCAACGTCTTGGTCCCATCGACATTGACCTTGCGCAATAACGGCTTGTTCCCTTCCAACACGTTCGCGGTAGCGGTGTGAATGACGACGTCCGGCTTGACGGCGCGGAAAACGGACAGCATGGACTCGACAGAGGTGATGTCTCCATCGTAGTACTCGGCGCCAGGAAGACGATTGTTCGTTGTCCGGAGGTCAACGACTGAGACTCTTGCGATGCATCGAGGGTATCGGTCACCCAACTTGGGATAGTCGAATCTAGTATCACCTTGCGGCTTGGGAAGTGCGACACTGGGATCTGTTTCCGAGGGGAAATTGAGTAGTTGGTCCACAATGTGCCAGCCCAGGAAGCCGCATCCTCCAACCACCAGGACATTGCCCAACTCGAGAGTAGGCCGCTTAGTAGACATGATGGAGGATTTCCGAAAAACAGCCGTAGGGTAGATGGTGTGGGGGAGGGGAGAGGAAAGGAGGGCGAAGGAGACGGAGCAATCGAGTTAGTTGGGGCGGCGTGGACCAGACGGAATACGGAATACGGATTGGAGGTCCGCCTCCAGAATCTCCGGATCAAAGCTCGGGCCTCCCCGCTAGAAATGCCACACATGAATCGCCGCCCTGAGACTTAACATGATACCTACCTATCTTTGCATTTTTCTAGTGTCCATTCTGGCATGTATCCAGGTTGACTTCACAGAGATAGGCGTAAGCTTCTCAAGAACATTGCAAAAGCATTCTTTTCCCAGCCGCCACTTTTCAATATCATGCGCCACTCACAGTAAACACCCATCTCTTCAACATGGCAATCGCCCGTCCATTCATATCCCTGTGGAACCATTCTCAGAAGCGCGCAGATCTCAAAGTGCAAGGGAGAGCCGATGGCACAAAGTATCATTCTAGAAAAAAACCTTGAAGCCGGAACAGCCTTTTTTCTCAGAATAGAGTAGAACCTAACCAGCAATTTGGGTCTGTCCCGGCCTCGCAGTGTCGACGAAGCTAGGAGAAGTCAAGCATTAGCGCGAGCCTACCCCATTGTTCTCTCAATTGAGCGCCTCAACTCCCGGTTGTATCTTCTTCGATCCTCCGGCGTTCCCCAGAATAATCGAGAGGCTTCAGGGTTCACTGCGGTTCGTGGATCATAAGGCGGGTTCTCTTCCTCCAGAGCTGCCACGATACCGTCGATATGATATCGCATCTCCTCCGACCGCTGTGGGAAATAACACAAGACACCATCAGGGCTTACACGAACATGGAAGAAGGAAGTTCTCATGGAAACTCGCGGCTGTACTTCTGGAAACTTCGGACTCAGGTGTATATCGATCTCAAATACACCGCCATCCAGATGCGTCATAGGTTTGCCAAAATAGGTGAGCTTCCACACGAATGGATTCTCGTCAACCAGATTCAGATCGATTGTGAAATTATTCTGGCTTTTCATGCTCTCCATAATCTGTTCATACTGGCGCTGTAGGTTTACTGCAATGCCCCACTCCTGCTCTTTCGCCGCCAGCCCTTCGGCCGACCAGTTGGAGCCTTCGCCAACAAGTGCAGACTTTATTACCACCAGCCGTTGCTTCAGCTCAGCATAATCGAAGTGGCCGTCCATCGAATTGTTGCCGTGTTCGAAGGGCATCCTTGTGAATTTCTGTTTACGTGGATATTCCAGCATGGCAGCATCTATTGATTGCATGTAGGCGCTAAAATACCACAAGAAACGTCTCTTGCGAAGATCGGCGAAAGGAACGGGAGAGGGCTTATCTTCCTCCAACAGTTCCCGTTCCTCGTTATCACTGAGTGAAGCATTCGCATCGCTCGGGGGTGTGATACCCAAAGACGCCTCCAGTGGCTCGATCACCGCAAGTCGAAGCGTCTCGTGGCGGATCTTAATTTCAATTAGAGCTTGGAGGGCACCAGCAAAGTTTGGAGAAGACAGCATTCACCTTTGCAACATACTGCTCCGAGTTTCGTTTATCATGTTCCGAACTTGCAACCTCGAACCCAGGTTCGTTCTCGTAAGGGTTGGAGGACATCAGGCTTTGTATCGATATTAGAATCGACTCGAGGCCCTGTGCGGACGACCACTGCTCTTCGCGTGTTCCGCGCCATGTTCTGCGAGGGCATCATCAGTCAGGTCTAACGCCGATGGAATGTCAGGGTTGTTACCCAAGGATCGATCTGGACCAACTTATCAGTTATCTGAACCCTCATGCAATCGCTAGGGGAAACATACAAGCAAACCTTGCCCGTAGCATAAATGTTGGGGTTGAACCGACACCGGCCACAGTTTGTCGTTAAGGCTTGGACATTTGGGGGGTGGGTAGGGTAGTCTGCGAATTGTCAAGAGTGAAAATAGTCTTATTTGGCAGGCTTGCTGACCTCTCCCAAACTTGATTGAGAACTAGGCAGTTGAGACCCGATCAGCACTAGAACAAAAGGAAAGAAGGCAGGTGACGAAGCCTGACCTCGAAAAACCCAAACTGGTATGGCGTATCAGGAGGCCCGAGAATGAGAGCATGTACATTTCGAATATCTGAATCATCGTAGTGTACAGCCAGAGCTATATAAAGATCACAAAGCCCTACACGTCAGCGATTTTGAACGTTTATAGGTGCTTACATCCACTAAAGCATACATGCGCTTATCGAGAGACGAAATACTCACATAGGTCTGTTCCTTGCTGGAGCTGTTGAATCTCCTATAATCTCTCAAAGACATTTCATCAGTCAAGCGAGATCATGAAGAACCAAGGAACAAGGTTACCCTTGTAAGTCGTAGGATCGCCTGGTTCGACATTCTGACAGGGAGGTAAAGCACGTATAAAGCAGCCAGTGAGCTTTTTGGTTGAGCAAGAGGCTTTTTTTGAAGCTATCGCAAGGTGTGTATGGTGAATTTCGAGCGCGCGCGCGGGGAAGGTCGATGAGATCAGGATGAGGGGGATCTTAGGAACTGTCTGCACGGAATTGGAAATCAAGTGTAGAAGAATGTTTCTATCCGAGTCTAGGGAGATGCCTTTCCGGAGTAGGCAAGAGGTTGAAGTGGAAGGTCCCAAAAGACATTTGCATAGTTAGTGAATAACACTTGGTTATAGTTAGTGGATAGACGAGAGTGCAGCTTGTTCTGCCGGATGAGTGGTGGGTGGGTGAGTGGCCGAGTAGTAGTAGGCACCGTCGGCGGACTCGACCGTCTTGACGGGTGCCTGCTCCGAAGAACAAAGGCAGTATCTAACCAACCACTCCTTCAGATTGGAATAGTATGTATGTAATTAAGTACCTGCTGCCTTGTAATCCAAGGACTGCCACGGCTGCTACAGTCATGCTCATTAAACATGATTTGCGTTCATTCTCTCCACTAATGAAGGCCAGTCGTAGAGCGCAGACATGTTCCTTTCCCCAAGTATATTTTCCTCACCGCCCATAGGCGACTATTTGCTACCTTATACCTGCGGCTTCGTTTTCATGTTAGACAAGATCAGAGGCAATTAATTGTTGATATGTATGACGTTGAAGGTAGGAGTTAGGAGCGCTCTGGGCTGTGAGGTGCTATATTCTCAAAAGGATCTGCGAACCAATTTCACCTGTAGCATAACTATATATGTTTACCGTCAACGCTGGTGAGAATCCCGCGGACCGCCCCGGCTTCATTCATTATACTGCCAATTGGTCTCTCCTCATTGTGGCAGGATGAATTGATTGTTACCTTCCCCAAGTACTTCCTGACATA